GGAAATCGTTAATTCTGATAATCCTGATAAGAACAATGGAACAAAATTATTGAATTATTGTATTGCCATTCGGTTCTTGACATGTATGCAAAATTTCGAAATAATCTGACCTTTTAAGGTATCCGACTACTTTCGGAACCGTGAATTTAAAAAGCGCATAAATGGATAATTTTCATGATATTTAGTGTCACTTAGATTAGACTACATGTATAAAATTGTTTTAAGGATATTTTGACAAAAAAAAGTATTTAAATACAATATTTCCGCAAAAAATGAACTTAGAATAATCTTTTTTCAAAATGTTCTACTTTTGTGAAAAATGCTGCTATTATAATAATATTTTGCCTGTATATAGCTCAGACCTCTTTACAGAGGCTCAACTATGATTTTTGAAAAATTTACATTATTTTCAGTTACAACCCATTGAAATAATTATCGGCGTTTTTTTCTTAAAATTTCTCCCCTCTGTTGTCGTAAAACATGGATAAATCTACTTCTAAGTTATATATTTTACAAGAATTTCAGTTGAGCCTCTGTATAGATGTCTGAGCTATATGCAGGCAAAATATTATTATAATAGAAGCATTTTTCACAAAAGGAGAATATTTTGAAAATGGGTCATTCTATGTTCATTTTTTGTCAAAATATTTTGTACTTAAATAATTTTTTATTATAATACTATTCTTAAAATAATTTTATATACATTTTCTAATCTATATATAAGTGACACTAAATATCATAAATATTATTCATTTATAAGCTTTTCAAAATCACGGTTCCGAACATAGTCGGATACCTTAATATGGGTAAAAATCGAGTTCAAAAATTCCGTTACACACAAGAGAAGAAAGCGTGTTAAAAAGCGTCCTTTGTTCGTTCCGGAGATGTAATATTTTACAGCTGCTTTAACTGGAAATTTTTAAATGCATTTCAATTCTGTCATAAGTCAGAATAATTGGAGGATTGAATACTGCATCATTTTATTTTGAAATTTGTGAACCATGCAGTTTTTTTAGGAGATAAAGTTATGACTAAAAGGATATTTCCCATTAGGCGATAAACTAAAAAATGATAATCACTCTAAATTTTGAAGAGCTTAAGATAATTATGAATTAAATAAAATCCCCCGAGAAAAAATTTAAATGGTGAATGGTTGTATAATTTTATTTAACATAAATAATTTTATTGCATAAATATATCGCATATCTTCTATTTCAATAATTTTTTTCTTTTATTTTTTAAAAGTATCATACAACAAGAGCAATTATAGTTTATTTTCTTATTTACAGTGTCAGTTGTTAAATGATATCATTTCATTAAGTCAGGGTAAAATGTACACAATTTTCTTTACTCACGAACAAGAGCTCCCCATTGTTAACAAATTAATTTATCAAAATCTTATACAAGAATCACGGTTTATTCGATCCTCTGTATTTACGATGGCGATAAATTACATTCTTCTGAAGGTCTTAAGCTACTATTAAAGTCAAGTACAATGATGTAGACTTGTCTTCCATCCACACTTTTATTACAGTTCTCTTAAATCCCCTACACTTTACAGACTAAAGTGGAGCTTAAGTTGAGAAAGGGCCGTGTTTTGATACCAGGATGTAGTTCAATGGGGATCGTTTATCGTCGGCTTTCATTAGGAGTTGACGCAAGATGGTCAGAAGATGTCGTTTTTCTTTTACCACTTTAAACTACTCTTTAAAGTCACAGTGTTTGACATGTTTTAAGTGTCTTTCCAAAGAACTGGTGATTAAAGATTGAGTTGTGGAACTTGAACAGTTCTGTGTAAT